CCTCGTCCCCGCCACGCGTCTGTGCCTCCTCGCGTCTGAGCGCTGCGCTCGGCAGCTGCGCTCCGTGGCAGCCCCCGCTGCGCAGCCTGGTGCTCTGCAGGGGGTGATGGACTACCCCTCCCATCCTCCCTGGCTGGCTTGCAGTCCACCACCCCTGCGGGGCGCCCAGCTGGAGAAAGCTCTGGGAAGCTCATGAGTTGTTTCGCACAGGGCTCGGGAGAACGGCGTCTTGGCAGTCTGAGATACACTGCCCTGGGGGAGGGAGGTTCCACTGAGTGCACATTCCGTGCAGCCATGCCAAAGGAGTAAAAGGGATCCACCTCCTTCCAGTCCACAACAGCCCGGCGAGGTAGGCCGGGGTCAGGGGCAGCAGCTGCCGCACACATGACACACAGCCAGCTTCAGACCACGTTGCCATCTTCTTCCTGCCAACGCTCCTGCGCAGTCAGCCCTTGCAGGGCAGGCAGAAATCCTGCAGGGAGGAAGGCTCACCCCTTGGATGCCTGCCTGCCGGTTGGCCGCTGAGGGCCCACAAGCCCAGCCCGACTGGAGCAGGGGCAGGTGGAGAGAGCACCTCTGTGCAGGTGCAGTTGTGAAAACGCAGTGGAGAAAGTGTACCGCCACAGAGCGAGCAGCGACAGCGCACTGGTCCAGCCGCCCACCACGGAGGCCAAGGGTGGGGGGGCCAGTCCCAGTGGGCACCAGGTCGGGGAAGCTTGCCGTGCGCGGCATTCCTTGTCGCCCTGGAGAGGAAGCGCCGCACAGACCCTGCCCGGCGGCCCCCTTCCCGCCACTGCCTCTGACCAGGGTCTGCGCCCCGGCGAGCGGCACTGAGGAGGGACCATGGGGCAGGGCATGGGGCTAGAGAAGGGGGGCAGCTGCCCCTCCAGGGAGCCTGCCGCCACTCGACCGGGCCCCCTGTGCCCAGCTCGGGCAGGCTCGGGCCCCCACGTGCTCGAGGAAAGCCCCCATGCTGCTCTGCTGGAAGGACCCGGGCCAACGTCCAGGAGGCCCCGTTCACCCTCCTACTTGGAAGGGTGTCCAAGGATCTGAGCAGAACGCAGGCAGTGCAGAGGGGCCCTGTCTGCCTCTCCCGAATCTCCTGTCAACCGGCGGCCCGGCTGGAGGGCTCCAATATTCTGGGAGAGGCGGACGCAGCTTCTCGAGGCCAAATCACGAAGCCAAAGGCCACATGGCACGCAGGCCCAAGCCCCCCCCCCAACGCCTCTGCCTGCCCCCTCACAGTGGCTGGGGCTTTGATGCCAGGGCCCCAGACAGGAGGGGAAGGGAGCCGCCCCCCCAGCCAGTCCCAGGCGATGCTGGAGCGCTGCTCAGCTGCTGCCACGGATGCCCCAGCCACGTGCCCCCGGAGGCTCCGGTGGCCACTCCCAGCAGCCGGCGTGGCCCTGGCGGGGAGGGGAGGGGAGCACTGCACTTTCCAGAGGTCAGCCCCCCACAGCAGGCTCGAGTAGCCCCCACCGGGGCAGCCAAGCCCCCACCCCCAGGAAGGTTTCTGCTTCTCCCGGGGATGAGCGGGCGGCTGCGATGTTCGCCTGCCTGTTGCCAAGGTTTCCCGAGCGGCTCCAGAGCCACTCAGGCAGTTCTCCAGTGCGTCTCATCCACAGGAGAAAGGGGGGGGGGGCAGACCAGGAGTCAGGATGCTGAACAGGCAGCCTTGGGAGAGAGCCCCTTAAAGTGGGGCCTTAAAGAGCCGGGCACCCCCTTCCTGCCGCCTCAGAAACCCGTGTGGCACACTGCTGCGACTCAGGGGATTCAGGCCCCTGGGAAAAGAGCATGGACTGACAGCCCACCCCCCAGTGCCCGGCTGGGGGAGGTGCAGTGGGCGGCTGTGAGGGGGGGGCCTTGGTGGTGGCAGCTCCCTGACGAGGGATCGCTCTCCAGCAAGGTGCCACCGCGGCCATTTCTCTGACACCCGGGCAGGACTTTCCACGTGACGGCACACGCTTTCGAATGGGTCCCCACGTTTGTACTGGTGATTGTGAAAAGTGGGCTATACTGCATTGTTAAGGGTTTCGGTCTTTGTAAATGACCCAGAGGACCTGGACTATGGGATGGTGTGAACAGCTATGAAATGAAATGAGGTGAAATGAAATGTGAGGAGTTATATGAGGGGGTGTGTGTACGAGGCATGTGAGGGGGTGTCACACGGAGGTGGGGGGAGACCTGTTCCCCCTGCAGAGAAAGGCAGGACGCGCTCCAAGGGAGCCAAGCTCAGGGAGCCAAGGTTCAATTTGGATGCCAGGAAGCACTTCCTGTCAGTCAGGCCCCCCTGGGTGTGGAATGGGCTTCCCCGGGAGGTCGTTGAGGCCCCATCGGTGCGGGTGTTCAAGGACGGGCTGGACGTCCACATGGTGGGCATGTCGTGAGCGGAGCCAGCTGGAGCCGGGGGTCAGACTAGATGGCCCAGGAGGCCCCTTCTGACTCGCTCTGTTTCTATGTGTGAACTCAAAACTGTAGGTCAAACTAGTTGGCCTGGGAGGCCCCTGAACATGCAGCCCCCCCCCCAAAAAAAACCAGGGACTGGCCTGTTTCTTCACCCGGGAGCTCAGAGCCTGAGCGGCCAGCTTGGCGCTGGCAGTGGCGCTGGCACAGCTGTGCGTTCCTCCGGCACATCAGCCCGGCCCTGTGAGGCTCCAAGGGCCGCCGAGAGAGAAGCCCTGATCCTTGGCCTGGACCAGCCCCGGGCTCGTCGTGCAGAGCTCCCTGCCGGCTTCAGGGGCCACCTGGCGCTCTCTGGGAGCAGCCGCACCTGCATCCCGCCATGTTTAACCCCACCCACCCGAAAGGCCAAACGGGCCCTGCAAGTGGGCAGGACTGAACCCACGCCATGCGGTTCAGCGCCACGGCCTATGTAGAATCATAGAAGAGTGGAGCTGGAAGGGGCCATGAAGGCCGTCAGGTCCAACCCGCTGCTGCTGAAGGACACAATTTAGAAGCGTAGAAATGGAGCGAGTCAGAAGAGACCTTGACCTTCCTCTTTGTCACAGCCTTTGAGGGACTTAAAAGGGGATCTCATGTCCCCCTCAGCCTTCCCTTCTCGAGGCTGAACATGCCCAGTTCCCTCAGTCTCTCCTCGCAGGGCAGCGTTTCCAAACCCCGGATCATTTTTGTGGCCCTCCTCTGCACCCTTTCTAAACTACCTGCATCTTCCTGAAATCTCGGTGCCCAGAACTGGACACAGAATTCCAGGTGAGGTCTGACTAGTGAGGAGTAGAGGGGAACTGCTACTTCTCGTGATTTGGAAGTAATACTTCTGTTAATGCATCCCAAAAGGGCATTTGCCCTTGTGGTGGCTGCATCGCATTGCTGGCTCATGTTTAGCCTCTTGTCCACAATTACTCCGAGGTCTTTTTCCTTTTCAGTTCTGTTGAGCCGCATTTCCCCATCTGGTTTCTTTTTCCTAGGTGGGGACTTGTCACTTCTCCCTACTGAATCTCTTTCTGTTGCTTTGAGCCCAGCGTTCAAGTTTCTCAAGATCGCCCTGGATCTCCATTCTGTCTTCTAGGGTGCTTGCTATCCCACCCAGTTTTGTATCATCTGCAAATCTGATTATTGTTCCTTGTACTTCACTTTGTTGAATTGTGTTTGTTTTATGTCTTTAATTTTGTTAAGAGTTCAGAGAGCCTTCAGGCCTTTGGGCGGTATAAAATGTATTTAATAATAATAAATAAATAAGAGACCTGTGTGGCTTTTGTGTGGTGCCACTTCCCGGGGAGGGCTGGGCAGCCCGCAGGCTGTGTGCCAAACTGGCCATCGGAGGCGACTTCCCCGGTTCGCCAGCCTCCTGGAGCTGGATTCCAAACAAGCTGGCTCGGACCCACGAGCTGGCCCTGGCCGGCCCGGTCTGGGACGCAGAGCCCCCATGGGCCCACCCGGCTCCTCTGCCAGCGCCCGGAAGCCGATGCCTGCCAGTGCCCCACTGTCGCCCTGGAACGGCTCCTGGAGGCCTGCCAAGGCTGCCTCCCCCCACCTGGCCCCTCCACGCCAGTGGGACGACACCCCCGTCATCCCAGGCATTCTGGGCGAGCACAACGGAGCTGCCACCTGACCCGGCCTGCGTGCGGTGGGGTAGCCCCAGGGGATGGCCCCCTCCGTGCCTTTGGTGGGAGATGCCCACGGACGCCAACAGGAGCGAGGGCCGTGGGCCGTGGGCCGTGGAGGGAGCAGCGCTTCCCCGCCGGGCACACGGCTGGCCCTCCGTGAGGCCGCTTCCTGCTCCTCTGCTCTGCACTTTGCTCATTCTGAGTCCCAGCTGAACCCGGAGAATTTCTGAAGGGCGGCTCTGACCTCCTCTCTGCTTATCCGCACCTTCCCCGTCGTGCGTTGTTGGTGCTTCTCTGCCCGTTGATAGCGCAACCCCAAAACCCAGCTCCACGGGGCGCGTGAGGCCTCACGGTCTCTTCTGCGGGAACGCCACACGCATGGCTGAAAGGGAGTCACACCCGCAGCCACATCCAAATTCTGCGCATGGGGTGGGGGGAGGAAGGGGTGGCAGCGTGGTATGAGTGGCAAGCTGCACTTCTGGAACGGCGCACCTGCATGCTGGGGTGCGGGCTGGGCTGGCATGTGATGCGGCCGAGGTCCAATGATGCAATTTGCACAAAGGGGGGGCGGGGGGGCACGAAGCTTCAAGTTCTGAAGCAAGAAAGACTGCATAATTTGGACCCCCTCCTCAAATTCAGGGAGAGAGTCCCATAAAGAGAATTCCATAGCATCCCCCAAACCAGAACCCGTTTTTCAGCATGTGTGAACCACAAGGCTGCGGGATTCTTTCCCACACAATTCAGTAATTCTCTGCTAATTCCCCTGCTAATTCAGCAGCGC